ACATTAGACATAGCTCACATAAAAAAATATTACTTTATCATGTTTAATTTATTAAAATATTTTATTAACTTAATTAGAATACTTTAATTTAATTAGAATAATTTAATTATTTAAAATTGGAACTTTTCTGGATTAATTGTATTGTTTTGCTTGTAAACTAGGCCACACTAAAAATTATTTCTAATGAATTCATTGCTTTTTAACAAATTTTAAAACACGCCAATAATCTGTTAATAATTTCTGCGATAAAGATACCGCAGGGCAATGTAAAATCATACAGTTATCGCACACTTGCCTCATATTCACCTGACTACCGCTATTGAATCATAAGCGCCTGTGTGTGAAAGAGAGATGATATGCCACTCTGCAGCAGTAGAGCTATTCGCACACCTGCCCTCACTTTAACATAGCGAGCGCGTTTCACTATCTGTGGTCTATATCAATGGATATCACTATGTATACTCTATGCTGCGAGAAATCATAGATTGTTGTAATCTTCTTAATGTCACTTTTGTCAAAAACGGCATATTTGGTGGTCACGTCCAATTTTATAAAAAATGTTCAAAGAATTTAATATTAGTGCGAACGTATAGGTGTATAATGATTTAAAACAAAACAGTTCATACATAAAAAGAAATCGCTGACGACAGTAATTATTGTTTAACTTATTGCATATGTTAAAGTATGGTGTTTGTATTTTGCAGTACTTTTGTAAATAATCATTTACAGTTCACCAAATGTCGTCATTAATTTTCCTAATTAATAATATTCGCAGTACAATGTGGTGGGCGTCAATTATTTTGAAAGTGAATTAATAGACATCATGGCTTCTTCTATTGCAACAGATACTGCGTCTTTATGCAGCGAAGCAAGTACTCTTATAGATGGAAGTGTTATATCTACTGTTCCTGATCGACATGGTTTTCTTGGCGGCCAACAGTATTCTCCAGAACCAAAGCAGGGGCCTCCTCCCGAAACAGTGCTTCGAAGGGAACACAAATGGCTAAAGATGATTTCTAAATGGAATTTTTACATGGAAAGAAACTACAGGAAAGTTAGAGAAAGATGTCGAAAAGGTAGTCATGAAGTTTAGTTTTCCTTACAGTTCAGATAAAAGTTATGATCACTGTTTATTTGAAAAAAATAGCATAACGTGACAAAACCCTGTTTAAATTGCAGAGTAAATTATTTTTAATTTATTTTTTAATTAAAGTGTATTACTGATATTTGGCATTAACCTTTCAAGGTGCAATTCTTAATGTTTTATTAGGAATTAATAAATATTTACAGTAAGCTTCTATAATTATGTAAATGCATATAGTTTTTGGTGAAATACTGTTATGGGAACAGCGTGACTATTGGCCAGGCATGGGCCATGGGTATGGGAAATGATAAAAACTGTCAATTTATAGTACACGGGTTTTATGAACAATATTTTTACTTGATTCACTAACCAGCTGGGAAATGCGGTGTCCATTAAAATACTCCGTTCCCTAAACAGTGTTTGCAATGGTGGCAACTGATACTTTCTCATTTAAAAATGTCTGTCACTAACGGTAATAAAAACTTCGTGTAATCTTTTCCTATCATAACCTAATCTAACTGAATAATTTTTTTATTTGAATGCTTAGCATCAAGGTTACAATAGGAAAACAACACAAACGAAGGGAATAGTTCGTGTCCGTGTACTTCTTTTTTTTTACAGGAATGTGAACCCACATGACCATGTCCTGTAACCATTGTCTGGCGAATAGTCACGCCGAATTATTTGCTAATGATTTAAGGATCGCGAATCAAAAAAATCAAATGATTCCGATTACTTTATAATATTCCGTTTATTTAGTTCCGATAGCGTTTCGTAGATAACAGGACCCGTATTCATAACTGGTGGGAATGAAACACCCAAAAGTTTTTTAGTTTTTTCAGTTCGGCCTCGTCAAGTACATGAAATACTTCAGTAGCAGAAAATACCAACTACATGGCGATACACTGCCTGTACTTGGTAGTTTCTTTTCATGTTTTAATTGAATTATTTTACTGTGAAAAATATAATCCGCCTATTTTTTTAATAGGAATACCAATGTCTGTTCGTCCTAAAGCTTGGCTTTATTTGTGTGGTGGTAAATTATTATTAGACAAATATCCTGATCAATATCAGGTTTGTCTGAGGGATGATGCTGATCCAAAGGCTCTCGAAGACATTAGGAAAGATTTACACCGACAATTTCCATATCATGAAATGTTTATATCTGAAGATAAGCCAGGGTAATAATCATATTCATTAAATTAATTTTTAATATAATTAACTCCTGTTTTTGGAAGTATAAAAGGAAAATTTTCAGACAACAAGAGTTGTTTAATGTTTTAAAAGCCTATGCGGTCTTCAATCCAACAGTTGGTTACTGTCAAGCACAAGCTCCAGTTGCTGCATTTCTTCTAATGCACATGCCAGCTATACAAGCTTTCTGGTGTCTTGTTTCAATCTCAGACCGTTATTTAAAAGATTATTATTCACCAGGTATGGAAACTGTTCGAAGGGATGGGATGATCCTTCAAGGTTTGCTTAAAAAAACCTGTCCACTAGCTTATCGTCATCTAAAAAAAATTGAGGCTGAACCTATGTTTTATTGTACAGAATGGTTTTTATGCGCATTTACTCGTACATTACCTTGGGATTCTTTGTTGCGTATTTGGGATATATTTTTGTGTGAAGGTGTCAAAATACTTTTTAAAACCGCTCTTGTTATACTTGAGGGCTGCTTAGGAAACGCAAAAAATCGAAAGAGATGTTCAGGTCTTTGTGAAACATTAGATTTACTGCGAAATCCTCCCGAATATGTTCTATCAGAAGAATACTTAGTCCATGGGTTAAGCAAACTTGGATTAACCGAGAAAGATTTTGAGCTGGAACACCAGAAACAAACGGCTAAGAGACGAAGTTTAGTGGCAGTTAGTAATGGCAGTTCTCCTAGGTAATAATAGTGTATGGTAAAAGTTTGTTTCGTTATAAATTCAGGTAAATTTCAGTTGTCAGATGAAAATGTTGAATTTGTATTTTGTTGTTGATGGTTAAAGAATTAACATTTTATTTATATGTGCATAAAAATTATGAATTGTTTTTTTGAATCTTCAAAAAATAATTATCTTTGTTATTTAATTTATTCATTTTATTTAAAAATAAAAGTTTAACATTTTATGACAATTTAATATATCACAGAAGGGTGTCAAGTTAGATAATGTAAATAGTGTTTATGTTTTGCATAATAGGATTTATTATGTTTAGGTATTTTGTTAACCCAAGCAGAAAAAAATCAATATAAATTGAGATCTCGAATATATTACTACCAAATTTGCTCAATTTTTGGTAGAAAACAGTATTAAATTTCAAGTAACACTTAATAATGAATTTAGACTATAATTTCAAAATAAAATGTGATAGCAGAATGGTAAATTATCGTCATATTCCATTACACATACTTCCTTTTAATTAAATTAGGATATATTTTTCTATATTTGTACGTTTCATAAAAACTGCTTGTAATTTACTTTAATAGAATACAATAAAGCCTTTTCAGTTAACTTAAGTTTATTAAAAATGTAATTTTATTTTACTAGTCAGTTGTTTTGCAATATTGGAATAGTAATATGCTTCATATTTATCTATAAGTATAATTTTGCTTATAATTATTAATGTTTGTATATGTACATATATGTACTAACGCCAATAAAGTTTCATTATAAATTATTTATTTGATTTGATACAATTCAATTAATTCATAATAAATATTTGCAAGTGCAGTAAATGTCTTATTTTTCTAAGTACCTACTTAATGCGCTACGTAGCAATTGAAAAATTTCTCATTAACGATAAGCTAAAATTTTAAGAATACGGTACTGAAAAAAACCGCTTCATAAAATAATGGTTAATAATTACGTGACCAACTTTTCTTTATTTGCTGAATAGTACAATTTTATTAATTGTTAATAGCTTGTTGATTTGCTATTTTGAAAAGCCCTACAATTAATTCACGCTAAAACCCCTGTGGGTTAATAAAATATTGGTATACAATTACCGAAACAAAACTATAATTGAATAGAAAATTTTGTTTTTTATTCTCAAACAGCTCACATTTATTGTTTCAATTTTATGAAAGGAATTATTTATACATAGGCATTTTAATAAGTGCGTTTCTCTTAAAAATATTGGTTTTATGACGTGTGAATTATCTGTAGGTTTACAATCATGATTAAAAAATAAAAATTAAAATTATTTAAAACAATAACGTAAGGGGATTTAAATAAATACATACAGTACATTTTCAGTCTATTTATAATTCGCTCATAAAAAAACTTGTAATTCTGGTGATGCTATTCCAGAAAATTAAATTCTTAACATCAGTACTAATAATTTTCAAGTGTTTGTATTATTAATATTAGTTGTTTAAAAGTATTGGAAACGACAAACAACTTGTAACATATAACCGTATTCACCTGCTTTCCGTTGTTTTTTTAATTGAAGTTAATAATGGGATGGACTACATTCAATTTCAGCATACATAACTGAATATGCAAAAAAACTAAATCATAATTGACTTAAAAGATACCATAAACCATATGTACTTTCAAATTAAATCTTATTTCTATTACTCCTTTTTTGAATATGCAAATGAGTATAACAAAACGACTTTCATATACAATGTAATTTTATTTTAACATAAAAAAAATAAATAATTATACCTAAGTCTACCTAAACAAAATTTGTACTTTATAGGAATTTTTTATAAAGCTTCAAAATTAGTATAGAACTCCAAGAATTAATACATCAGTGTTTAAACTTCAAGGATATAGCTGATATATCAGTTGAATGTTTTAAGAAAACAGTGGTAAATTATGAAAATGGTAACCTTGTTTTCCTTTTGCCGCTAAATATATGTATACCACATGGTAAGCTCCTGGTACAAAACATATAAAACCAGCAAGGAGAAAAACTGTCCCTTGAAGTCCAGCTCTAGGTTCAGCAAATGCTAAAATTCCTGTTGCCAGAAGACCTACTCCTATCAGCAACAATGTTACAGCAGCTAATACCATTCTCCAATTCTCCTGCACTTTCGGATGTTTGTAACATGGATAATGCACAAAATCTTGACTGGTACTATCACAATAGTCTTGTATTAAAGAATCACTATCACGGGAACCTTCATTTTCCAATTTATAGCCTCTTAAAGTAAAGAAATGTCTATGAAGGATACAAGGAAAAAAAAAAAAGTTGTCTTACCCTGCATTTTCAATATTTAAATGAATGCAATCAATAATTTCTTCAGTTTTTCTATTACTAGTGTGGTTTTTATTGAAGTCTGCAGTTCCACACACTTTTATTGCCTCATCAGTTTCCTCTTCAAATGCATCATCGATCGAAAATCTTTTTGAAAACGATTTAGTACCATTGATAAAAAGATGTTTATTGGACATGATGTGTTCACTTTGAATTCTTCAATTCATTGTGATTATGATTTCCGTTGGCGATTAAACGGGTATTACAAATTTAGCCAAAAATTTGTAACAACAAATATAATACGTTTATTTCTTTAGGCATTTAGATAATGCAATACTGAAGATTCAACGGTTAAACTTGGTATAAGAAAACTTTACATTCACATATTAATCAATTAAGTACCTATTTAGCGAACAATCAAATATTGACGGTTTTGGAAACTCCTTATTTTTCACTTTCTCACAACTACAAAAACGTATTACATGGATAAATAAATATACTACCATTTATATTTATATATTTTTATTAATACTTGACAGTTGACAAATTGACATTGTGCTTCGCTTTCACCAACGTTGCCAAGTTGTTGGATTCGAAATGACTCTCAAATAAAAGGAAATATACGGTAACAAGACTCACCAAATTTCTCATACAATAATAGTTAAATTACTCTACACATTCCCTATCTAGCTATTGGAGTAAATACCGACAAAAACGCGGAGTGGGGCACACTTATCGTCAAGCCAATAATTGTCTTTTTCCAGAATTTAGCGACACAAACCGATAGATGGCGCCAGTAAATACCGACAAAAACGCGAAGAGGGGCACACTGATCGTGCAGCCAATAATTGTCTTTTTCCAGAATTTAGCGACACAAACGGATAGATGGCGCCAGTTGTACCGTTTTAAGATTTTTTGTAAAATGGGCATAAAAAAACGTCATACGCTTGTTAATAATATCATAATTTTTATTTGGAATGTTGTAATTAGGGTTGTCTACCTTTAAAAGAATTTCTTATTAAATTTTGCAATGATAATAAAAATAAAGCTGTTGGAGTTTTTCAATTATCGCGCCTATTTTGGTTATTTCATTTTATTATGTTGGCACCGCCTTGTATTTCACCATAGTGATTTTTAAACAAATCGTTTTTGTTTAGTTCTTTTGTAACGTTCGTCCAGGTCGGTTCATAATTAATAAAGTTTCTTTTCAAATTAATTCTGTGTTTCCACTGTGTCTTTTAACCTCTCCAATAAAAGCAGTTGGAGTTGGTAATTTTTTTCCATGCCTTTGATTGAAAGACAGATGGGAAAATACCACATGTAAACGTTAAAAAGTCGTGTTCGTCAANTATGTAAAAATTTCACCTACGTACAAAAAATCAATTTTTGACGATTTTCTAAAAAAACTGATAACATTGTTGCACAAACCGCATTTAGTTTGTCACTCTCGGACGAAATGCATTTTCGTTGGCTACACGAAGCAACTTGTCTGACTTGGTAGTCATGCTTAAACAAAGATCAAGGATAGAAGGCTGAAGAAAATATAACTGGATTTTGAACATTTATTTGACGTTTGTCTGAGATAATTGACTCTAACCATATGAGCTCAGGATCATCGACCCAATTTGTTCCCGAAAGTTCTATTAATAATTTTGAAAGACTGAAGCTTTTTTGGTTTCACTGGATTTTCGAGGGCCACGTTAGGTAACCTGTCTCACGTTTTAACCGTGACGAAGGGCCGAATCGACAGACGTACGTGCTCCATTGAAGTGGAGGGGAACACTGGAATGAGCGCGCTTATGGGAAACTGTTGAAAAAGTTGATCCCAAGTATTAGACAAGGTCAGACGCTGTGGGGTGGTTATCTATCTGCGTCGTACTAACGTAAATAGAGGTGTTATTTAGACTGTTGTTAATTTTTTTACTTTTTTAAAGTAATTAGTTGAAATGGTTAAATATTGTTGTACATATTGGTGCACAAATGAATGGAGATCCAATGAAAACATAAAATTCCATAAATAAGTATTAATTAGAGATTAAAACAATGAAATATAATTTAACCTGCATTATGGGTACATGTGTACGCGAAAATTTTAATGAAAAATAAGGATAATTACCTTGTTAATTATTAGTATATTAGTTCTACACATATATTTATTTTAAATTTCCACTGAAAAAGTACGCCAAAAAATGAGTATAACAAAACGACTTTCATATACAATGTAATTTTATTTTAACATAAAAAAAATAAATAATTATACCTAAGTCTACCTAAACAAAATTTGTACTATCTTGAAGCGTGAACATGTTTCTGTTGTGAAAAAATTAAGTTTTTTTCTTACGTATGATATATCATACGATGGGCAATAACAGTGATGTATGTTTCAGACTTTATAATCCTGCAAATCAGAGAGACGCAGANAATACTTTAAATTCATTAGAATAATTTAGTTAATTAAAATTAGAACTTTTTCGGATTAATTGTATTGTTTTGTTTGTACTAGGTCACAATAAAAATTATTTCTAATGAATTTATTGCTTTTTAACAAATTTTAAAATACGCCAATAATTTGTTAATAATATCGGCCATAAAAATACCGCACGGAAATGTAAAATCATACACGGGTATTGCACACCTGCCTCATTTTCACCTGACTACCGCTATTGACTCATAAGCGCCTGTGTGTGAAAGAGAGCAGCAGCGGAGCTATTCGCACACTTGCGCTCACAAATTTAACATAGCCTACGCTTTCTAGTATCTGTAGTCTAGTTCAATGACGTGCTCTAATTTAATTATATCTATTGTCGTGTTTCCGTTTTGACGGACGGGCTCGTTCATTCATCGACGTCTACTAATGGACGTGCCTTAGCGGTCAGAATTGTGGTACAACAAATGAAAAAGATGGAACGAAGTTTCGGACAATATCCATCTTTCTCGCGATAGTGCGTAAGCGTGTCATGAAAAAGATAGTACTAGTCTGAAACCTTACACCATCTCCCTCACTTTTCGAGCCAAGAAATTATTACAACGACATACGGCTTATGCACGTCCATTAATATATGTCTATGCGTTCATTAATATATGTCTATGGTTTTCTGTATAGATGCCCTTTACCCTTTGTAGATCTATTATCTATGATAGGTGCTCTATGGTCAGCGGGAATAATGGTAGATTCATGGTGGTCTGTAGTAGCGTTATTTATTAATAACTAAGTATGCTATAAAATTGTTTAGTGTTTTTATGTCAATGCAAATTATAGTCATATAAATACAATGAAATATTCCTGTGATAATTTAGCACGATCTCTTTTGATACTTGTGTTTTAAGTAGGTATGTTTTAATGTTATAGTTTGTAAGCCCTTCAAGCAATTTTATATATGTATATACTACGCGGCTAAGTATAAAAACTTTTTGGAGCAATGGAGTTTTGGATAATAGAACAACAGCTGGAAATCGAGTATTTATTTATATTATAACATATTTGTGATTCGACCAGGCAGTAGTGATAGATTTCAACGTTTTATATCAAGCTGCTGCAGTAATTTGCATGATTTAATTATAAGGAAATGAGTATAAAACATCAACAAAAGATTCATACCAGACTGGCTTTGAAATGGACAAAAACACGTTAAAAATAAATCTACAAGAGGATTGATGGCAGTGGGTTTTAATTTGTAAGTATCTTCCATAGGTAATAACTTTAATAAAAAGCTCTCTATTAACGCCAACTTGTTAAAATTAAGACATTCTATAGAAGACAAGTTGCAGCTTTCTGGTACCGTAAGTACATAATACCTTTTTTTTTTTTTGAAGTGCTCAGTTTTTGTTAGATAAAAAACGATTCATACCAACATAAATTTTTAATTCACTTGAAATCAATAAATTGTTCTTGAATAGTGTATGCGTGCCCCCCTTCATTCGAGATTTTAACTATAGTGATGGCAGCTTATCTTCGTTATCTGAGTGGTCAGTAACCATGTGAGGAATTGCAATAACAAAGTATTGTCAAAGAAAATTTAAATCAAATAGTGGAAGGGGCACAGGGTTTGTGGTGTATTTAATTTGTAGTAGTTTATGATGTCTGCATTTCTAGAAAAGGAAGTTTTGTGAAAACAGTTAATTTGTGAAAGTCCCTGCGGAATAAAACTAATCTTATTCCGTTGTGGGATATTTAGAATTTATTTTTAATTTTGTTGTTCCTTTACCAAGGGAATAAAATTAAAAAAACAATTTAAACCAAATCGTATGTGTTGAACTCATCTGTGGTGTGCATATTGTTTCTTGCAATTTATGATGTCTAGATTTCTCTAAACCTAACTATGTAAAAGCCAAGATAAAACTAATCTTATTTTGGCGAATAAGCTAAAATGAAACTAGTCTCATTTTAACTTGTGGTGTACATGTACTTATGTGTCTATGTGAGAGTCAGCTTTTTATCACAATAGGGTAAAAGCACGAAATGATAGAGGATTATTTTGTTGTTCACTTAACCCTATAGGAGCAGTGCAACATTTGCGTCTTGGAGCTAAATCTCACATTATCTTGAAATACTTCGTCCCTTCGACAGTGCTGCTATTAGACTGCCTGCATTCTATATAGAGGCTTCTTAGCCTACATATGGATCATCTAGTATAGAATGCTTACCTAGAATGCAGGTGAATACATGTCCTACTCCTTTTTTACAAATCAAATTGCATATTCATCTACGGCAGTGTAATCTTTTATTTTGTGATCCATCTTTTCATTAATCACATGTATTGCATCCTTTTTACCATATATAAATGAGGAACAGACAAATAAAGAAAATATGCCATATATTTATGGAATATTTATCAAAAAACTAATATTCAGAAAAAATGCAACAAAAAATATGTAAAAATTTCACCTACGTACAAAAAATCAATTTTTGACGATTTTCTAAAAAAACTGATAACATTGTTGCACAAACCGCATTTAGTTTGTCACTCTCGGACGAAATGCATTTTCGTTGGCTACACGAAGCAACTTGTCTGACTTGGTAGTCATGCTTAAACAAAGATCAAGGATAGAAGGCTGAAGAAAATATAACTGGATTTTGAACATTTATTTGACGTTTGTCTGAGATAATTGACTCTAACCATATGAGCTCAGGATCATCGACCCAATTTGTTCCCAAAAGTTCTATTAATAATTTTGAAAGACTGAAGCTTTTTTGGTTTCACTGGATTTTCGAGGGCCACGTTAGGTAACTGTACAGTTTTAAGTTTCTTTCCACGTTTTAATAACGTTTGAAATTGTTCTGTCGGTTCATCAAAACTATAAAACAACTCAGTCTTATCCTTTGTTTATCTCGAAAATCATCCAGTTCGACCCAAGCTTTGGAACTTTCCTTTTTTAGTCATGGTATTTTGTAGGGGATTTTATAGAACTATAAGAGCGCGTTACTTTTTCAATTTGTCCAAAAACACGATCTGCTGGCAAATACGAATGTCCTCGTATTGGGAATATTACAACCAAAGATTTAACAGCTTTTGGAACGTCTCGGCACAGATATAACATAAGCATGTACATCATGTGTGCATTTTTACTTTGGCCAGCACAACCATCTGCGAATAAACGTACAGTAGGATCCCGATTATCCGGATCAATTAAAACCAGGGGTATTCCGTATAATCGAAAATCCGGATAACCGATTTCAAAGCAAATCAAATAATATTTAAGTTTTAATAATTTTTTATTATGTAATGGGTTTTACTTAGATAATACGAAATATAAAAAACGAGCTATAACGGTAGATAATGAATTACATAATACCTAGGTAATTTAAAATTCTTGCTCAAGCGCGCAGGTGAATTTCATTATGGAATCAGAATTCTTTTTAATGTCTGATATCGTAGAAGTTCCGACACCATATATTTGTGCTAACTTACTGCCAGATTCACCATTTTTTATACTCTCAATTATCTTCATTTTGTCTTTAAGAGACAACACTACTCTTTTTCGCTTAGACATTTTAAATTTCCAACACAAAACGTAAACAAAAATAAAAGACAACCTTTCAGTTGAACGCTATCAAAGAAAATGAAACAATAACAAACACTATCCCGCAAACAAATGAGAGCGGGAGTACACCGTCGGAGGCGGGAATAAACTTGTCGTAACATGTCTCGTTGCGCCGTCAAAACATTTTTAAATTAATAATTAGAGCCGAGACGAATGAGTCCGGATAATCGGATGTTCGGATAATCGATGTTCGGATAATCGGCATTGTACTGTAGTATATATTTTTTTACTCTACACAGTTTGGACACATATTTATGTTGTGCATCCTACATATGGCTCTTTTACATTTCGTGCAGAAGTTAGTCGTCATTTTTCTAGCTTTAGACGGACACAAGGCACACGTTTTTCTTGAATTTCATTCTTGCATAATTGACGATTCAGGAATAGTTTCAATACCTAAGATACCCTTTATGAGTTCTTTGATATCTCGCCGCAATGTTGGAGTATTTATTCTTTCTCTCAGATGAGGTTCCATAAGAGCATTAGCCATTTCCAAAACAAAGTCGTGCCTGGATTTACTTATTTTTTTATTTCTGCAATTGTTGGTAACATAAANCGGTTATTTCTTTAAAATCGTCGTGCGGTTTAATTGAAGAATCAGATAGAGTTAATTTTAATAATTTATTCCATGCCCTTTAAGGGTATTTTAACATTTTTGAAACAGCGCGAATTTTTTGATTTACCAATAAGTAGCAGTGGCAATCGATGTGTTCCTTTAGCGTTTGCGCAAACCATAACTGTAACTCTGTCCTTACTCACTTTGTGCCCCGGTGCTGCATTTTCACGTCGCGATGCTAATGATCTGCTTGGTAGAGCTTTCCAATTAAGACCTGTTTCGTCCGCATTGTATACAAAATCTAAATCGTATTGTTTTTCATCTAGAAATTCTTTTAACTCGTCTACAAAAGAGTCGGCTGATGCAACGTTAGCAGACAGTTTTTCTCCTTGAATCTCCAGTTCTCGAATTCCATGTCTGGATTTGAATCTTGCTAACCATTCACAGCTCGCCTTGAAAGAAGGTTTTTGACATTTTGAAGTTTATTTATATTTTTTAAAAAACGTTTGTCGCCCCCAAGGTTCTCTCTTAAAGGTACAGAATCAGTCTTAATTAAATAAGTCATTTTGAAAGTCTTGTTATTTCGTCTTATATAGGACAAAACTCGGGTTCCATTTCCGTCGGACTATTTCGGATTTGGGAACGATATCTTCTTTATCTACCACTGTTGTC